ACCCCAAAACCCCAAAACCCCAAAATAGATATATATATCATGAAATCTTAGTTAATCAAATTTATGAAATTAAGATTTAACGTGTAGTTATAAAGCTCATCATTTAAGAATTTTTATAGGCATTCCCTTTTCAAATATTTGGGTTATTGAAGGTCATATTATTAGGATTCTAAGTGTTATAATGATTCTTGATTTTGATATTCATCACATTTGCTTGAATTGAACTTCCGTATAGCACATTGCTGCTACCTGTCATTGCTAAATTCTCGTTTCTACTACTTATTCCTGAACTTGCTTAGTTTACCTTAAGCTTGTTTCTTTTCTAACTTGTCGTTGATCTTAGTCTAGAGCCTTAGAGGTTTTAATGCCCTTAAAGCATTTTCAATAGCTCATCATTACTTTATGTTGCATTGATTAAGTCAAACCTTACATTTTACTTTTCAATGGGGTTAGCTTGATCTGAATTGGCGTTGAAGGTTGCAAGTGCTTGATTCTAATATTCCTAACTTTATTATGTGAATAGATTGATAAAGGTTATGCAATCCTTGAACACTCTATCAGAGTTAAGATTATGCGATGTAAAAATGGGGCATAATTTAGTTAAGTCCTTGCATTTATTCATAAGCACTCTGTATATTGCAAATACTTGCTTGCTATCTAGCAAGAAATTTTTATACTTCAACTCAAAGCCATCGCTCTAATCTTGAGTATTATTTCCTTGGTTTATTTGAGATTCCTATACTCTGTGTATTGTTGATTCAGTGTTCATCATATTATTATTTCTTAGTTAGCTGATGACTACAGGAGCCTATGGCTAACTGAATATCAAACTTTTGTTTGTCTCTGAGCTGTTTACCGAATGAATTGGAGGCATCATTGGAGTTTATTTAATTAATGGATTCATTTGCTATTATTATATCGAAGATTGAATGACTCTTTTGCTATTTGATTAGTTAAGCTATTCATTATTTCTGAAAGATGAATCTAACATCTCTGAAGATGTAGATTAATTGTGAGCATGATCAGAAAGCGTATTGTGCTGAATATTAATATAAGGACTTGGATGATCAAAAGTTTGATTCTAGTTTATCTTTATTCTTGATCCAGAATAATCTCCCTTATTTCTTGAATTCATAATGTTTGTAGGCTTCGTTTTCTTCAGAAACTAAATTTGATCATTAATAGATTATTCCAACTTCAACATCTGTTTTTGCTCTAAAGATTATTAAAAAATTAAGATTGTGATTACCGAAAAGATATTTTTCCTGATTAAATGATGTCTCTAAATTGCATTTTTCAATCAAGCAAGCCACCTAGCAATCATTTATAATATTAAAAAAATTACTATAGTTGATATTTGTATTAGCGAAGTATTGACGTAATCCTTGTTTAGTAAAAGTTCATCCACCTTGGCATGCTGTTAATGCATATCAGCTACCATATCTTATTTTTCCCTTTTTCTTGTTTCCAAAAGATTTTGTAAATCTGCATATATACTTTGAACAAATTAGTCTAGTTCTTTTGTAGAGCTGAGAGACTTCTCTTTAAATTAATCGATTTCAACTCTGAAATTCTTGACCTAATCATCCATAAAATATTTTAACTTCTGGGTTTGAATGTTAATTTCGTGAAGTTTTTGGTTTATTCGAGAGTTTTGATAGTAGTCATCCATATCTTCATCCTCATCTTCATCTTCTTCACTGCTTTCTTCTCTTCTTATTTCATGGACGATTGGTTCGTCTCTGATATCGTAGGATACAGTAGAGCGAGATTCTTTATGATTTTCATTATCGGAATTTACACCTTTAGACGAGTCCTCTTCCTTGATGGTTTGCTAATTATCATTTTTTACTGAATTTTGGATGACAATGTTGTTGTCTGAAATAGGATTTCTAATTACGGATGCTCTCCTCTATCTCTTAACTTCTATAGTAAAATCACTTAGTTCTTTATGTCCATAATCTCTATCTTTTTGCTAGCTGTTAAGCCTTTATCTCTAACTTGGACTATCCTCATAGGCAATTTCAGGCTTTTATAATAAGTTTGCTTTATCTCTCACACTATCAGGGTGATCACCCACTTTCTGAGTTTGAGTGGGAAGTTTTATTCTTTATGCCTTGCTGTTCCTATTTCTTCCTGAGTCATCTCCTGCATGCTTCCCACCATCATTTGGATTCATATTAGAAGAGCTGCTTAGAGTCATTTAGCGTTTAAGCAGCTTTGAACCATTGCTTGCCTCGCTTGCTCCGTCATTGAAGACACTGCCTCCATGCTTTGAACTACTATTTATGGAAACATAATCCCCTCTTCTTACCATTGCCATCAGCTTCTTTTTACTTTGATAAGGTCTTTCCTCCATTTTCATCCTAATCTATTTCAGTTACTCAGCTAATCTAGGAATCCCATCATCTTCTAAGATAATCTAATGCAATTCAGCGAATCTTTTCTTCTCAAACTCTCCTAATTTATTCTTTTCTTTATAAGGCAGAATAACTGACAGTACTTCTGAGATAGTTGACTAAATTCTAATAGGTATGTATTTCTCGACAAAATTTTCGACCATAGCGAAATGATTTCCATGATTGTCAACATCTAGCTTAATTTTATCGATCTCAGAATCCAGATTTTTAAGGTCTTTGTTCACATCTACTATGTCGCATTTCCTTTTGTCAATATCATTAATCTGGTCCTACATCTTATGCAACCAAGCATCATGCCCTTCTACCTGCTTTTGCAGCTGCTAAATATGATTTTAAAGTCTTCTAATTTCTTGTTCCTTTTTAAACAAACCGTTATCCAGAACAATATTCTTCTCTCTAATTTCACTTATCTCCCCTAACAGACTATTGTATTGCTTCGAATATTTTTCTAAGAAATCCTCTTGCCACTTTCTGATCCTGTTGTTAAACTCTTGAAATTCTTTATTAAGGCCAAGTGTCTAGTCCTCCTAGTTCTTGAGAGACCTATTCAGATTAAGTTGGGAGAAGACTACACCTGAGATTTCATTCTTCACATAAGCTATTTCATCTCTCAATTTTTCCTCTTCCATCAGTCGCTGCCTTTCATTCTCGGTTATTTTCTTATAGATGCTATCAAACAAGCCCATTCTTTCCTCTTCATCCTTCTTGAAAAGAATTATCTCAATATCATTGACTCTGCGATCATGGTCCTCCAAGAATCTTTGTAACTTACTAACCAATGCTCTATCCTCTGTGCTTTACTTGAATGTTGGCTCCATCAGTTAATGTACTAGCTTCCTCATGCGCATCTCGAAGTCAAACCAATCAATTTCAGAGTAGTTCTCAACTAATTTGCTATAATTTTTGAAGGTATATCTTACTATTAACAGAGAATTAGTTTGCATCTGCATCAGTTTTAAAGCTAACGTACTTGCTATGTTTGAGTGGATCATGATTTTGCTTTGAATTAGATCTGTTAGATAGTTGCTGCTACTAATTGCTATTACTATCTTCTTTTTTAATCAAAATAGGATTAGGAGCATTAAGCTAGTTAGATGAGACCTTTTGTTGCTATTATTAGGTTGGTATCGGATCATCTTCCTCTAATATACTTCTTTCTTTTGTCAACATTATTGATATATGCCAAATTATTATTATTATCTTGTATTATCGTTTTTCTAATTATACTTCTATACATTTGATTGATGGGGTTTTGGGGTTTTGGGGTTTTGGGG